CCCTCCCTCCCCTCCTGGCACCCTACGTATCGTCCCTACCCCCCTCATCTCTCATCGTTCTCTCCACCGTCCTCGGCGCCCAGGGCAATTGGCTCACTTTGCGATATCTCTACGCCGCACTGAATGCATCATCCACCTCCGACGCTGCGCTAATTTTCGGCGAAGGTCACAATGGGAAGAAACAGAAGGTAGTGCTCGTGAGTTTCCTGCGGGGTTGGGAATTTTGGCGCGCGGAAGCAAAAAGATTGGTATGTTTTTTTTTTCCGGGAGCAACACCCCCAGCCCAACAAGAACCTCGAAGATTAGTGGAAAACCTCTTGTGCGGCATGAAAGGAAAGAATTCTAAAACGACAATACAAAATTTCAGGGCTTGGATCTCGCCCGTCTCACAGACAAGCGCCAATTCGCCTTTGTCGATGGCTTATCCGACCTCTTCTCCGGTCCGCGGACGACGCCGACGCCGACCACCCCCACCACCACCACCCAAACCACTCCTCCCTCTCTGGCACCCTCACCACGCGGCGGCGCGGTTCCTCAGCGGACAATTCTCCCCAATCGATCCGCGCCAGGTCCCATCCCCGCGCGAGGGCCTCAACCCGCACGCGGGCCTGCGGTCGCCGCCCCAGCTCCGTCAGCTCCGTTGGCGCCGTCGGCTGCGCCGACATCCTCCCGAGAGATCGGCCCAGTCAAGCGACTGCACCTTTCCGGGAAGGGCCCTGCAGCTCTTGACAGACTCGAGAAGGATATTGCGGCGGTGGTGGAGCATCTGAACGGGAGGGTGGCGGCGACGACGACGACGGAGGAAGAGGACGATTCAGAGGTGCTGTTAGTCCTCGACCAACCGGACCTGCTTCTAGCGGCGACGGGTCCCGGCAAGGAGATTGGAGCTACGGAGATGACCGAGTGGGTGATGGGCCTACAACAGGTACGTCTCTCGATCGGCTGACTCGGGTTGTGATGATGATGATGATGGTGATGATGCGTGCGCTAACCATATTACGTTCTTGTGGGGATATAGTATGTCCATGCTACGGTCATGACCCTCGCAGCAGACTTGCCCTTGATACACAACGCCTCGGCGGCTGGGCATCAGATGCCAACGCCGCTGGAGACCGAACACGCCGCGTTTGCGATCGGTTCGGCCCACCGGGCGCATATGGTGATGCAGTTGCGGGATCTGGATACGGGGGCCGCGCGGGATGTGAGTGGGGTTCTCAGGGTAAGCAAAGGAGGCGCGTGGGGACAGAGCGATAGCACCGATGCCAACGGGACTTGGGAAGAGAAGGAGGCTTTGTACTTCGTGCAGAGAGATGGTGGAGTCAGCGTCTTCGGACGCGGGGAGTAGGGGGCTCAGTGTCAGTGGGACCAGGGTGGTTTGGGGGGCGGGGGCGTTCGGGCGCACTCATTTAAAAAAAGCATAGAACGGTAGATTGATCTGCCTCGCAAGTTGGCAGTGCAAGGATAAATACGTTTCTGTTTGGCTGGCAATCGGAACTTTAAGTAGGCAGATCACATTGGATGAATATCTCAACACTGCGTCTGTCTCGACATGGGATATCCGCCAGCCATAAACAAGTCAAGGAAATTCATGCATTGCTTTCCCTTCTGCTTTTTTTTTTCTTCGTGAACAACACAGGACCCCCCACCGGAAAGAGAGTCCGTCTTTTCATTTGTCGTCAATATGTGCCATTTTCTCTCTTTCTCTAGAATAGAAATGCTATGACGGCAAAAAAAGTGAAAAGACCGTCCCACCACCAACTCCACGGGGGCAGCGCCTTTTTTTCGCCTTGCACTGAAACCGGCTCACTTCATATGCTCGGCCTTTGTCATACCAGCCCTCTCCAGCCTCCGAGAACGAAATCGCGACGCCGAACAATTGACTTAGTTGCTGCTCGAGGTGACGCCACGGGCACCCTTGGGGACACCGGTCTGGAAGCCGTTGTGGAAGCGGCGGTGGACCTCCTTGAGGTGGCGCATTCTGCCGGTACCGGTGGTCTTTCTGCGCTTGGCCTTCTCGCTCCAGTTGACTATATGAAATCATAGATTCGTAAGCCAACGGTCTCTCTCAAAATACCAAAACATGATCTGTGATTCGGGGTGGTGGGTGGGAATCTTCCGGTGCTCGAGGAGGCTGGTTTTTGCTTCTCCCATTGTCGAATCAAGCACGCACGAAGGCCCGGTGTTGTGTCAAGGATAGGGTGGAGTAATCGGGGGAGAGTTCGTACACTTGCGAGTCTTAGCGGAGGGGTAACCGCAGTTGGCACAAGTCGACTTCTGGATGTGGAAGGAGCGTTTGCCTGTAGATATCCCAATGGTGCGCAATCCGTTAGCCCATTTGATCCCATTGTCGTTCCCAGCAGATTTCCTTCAATCATTCCCGGCACATGATCCCATCTCTTGAAGATTGATCATCCGATGATCCGCAAAAATATTCCGCCGTATCAAACAAAGGTATCGGAAGGTGTAATACTGACCACAACGCCTGCAGAGGGTGTGAGTCTTGTTGTGGCGCTTGCCAAAGCTGGAGGTACCCTTCGCTGTAATCGGTGTTAGTTGGCTGTCACATTTTGTCGTCGCTGAGGGACCGGTCGGAAACGGTAGTATATTATGTTGGTAACGTACTCATCTTGAATTAGGGGAACTAAAAGTGAAGCAAAATAGTCAGCGAAAAAAGTCCGTCCAGCAGATATCCAAAAACACGACTATCCGACAAAAATAACCTACCTGGCGATTCCGTTGAAGGGCTGGTTGTCGTTGTCGTCGTCGCTGGGCGTATCGAAAGTTGCGCTGGGATCTGGGGTGGTGTCGCTTAGCGAGTTGTGGTTTCCAGGGCTTGTGCCCTGGTCCCGTGATCCCGTGACCTTCCGCCTTCTTAGAAGATGCCTTTTCTGTCACGTGCCGGGCTCTCGATCTTGTTGCGGCTCCACTTACTGTACTATCCGGGTAGCTAATCCGAGACTGGACTAGCGCCATACAACTTAGTTGTTTGTTTCCATTCATGGGTCATTTCCATGTCTCCCTCCTTGGCTATGGCCGGAATGGTCGTACTATTCAAATACGATACAATCAATATATCGATATATCCACAATTTCGAAGAAGGGTATCTATATGCATTGCGCAATTCATGTTGCAGAACAGAGGCGCAGAGAAACATCTTGCCAGAAAGCCACTAAACCAGATCATCTTTCCCCATAAAAGCGGCCATAGGATCGTCCGCAGCAAGCCTGCTTCGTTTGTATGAGTCGAGCTCTTCCTCCGTGATTCCTGACTGCACCTCAATCAAGGTTCTCTTCTTCGTGTTTGCGTTGGTCACTTCTCCTGCCTTCTCCAAGCCCGCCTGATCAGGATTGTAGTGGTTCTCCTCAAGGTCACCAGACTGTTCGGTAGCGTCTTCGCCATCTCCTTCCGGTAGCATCAAGATCTGGTCTGCCTCTCGGAAAGCGCGCTTGCCGTCCTCACCAGTACAATAACTGTTCTTCACAGTAGAGAAACAGCAGGCATATCCCCATTCGAAGTTGTGCCACCAGCTTCCCCAAACGGAGGTATGGTTGTTGTTGAGGATATCTTCCGCGTACTTGGACTTTGCTGCTTTCTTGGGAGCGCCCTTAATGGCGCCAGTCTCGTCATATTCGATAAACCTTTCGTTCTCAACCACCATGGTTTCTCGTAGCGGAGTTGGGTCAAGATGTTCCTGACCACCGTATTTCTCCAAAAGAGCCTTGCGCTGAGCATCACGCTTGGCCACTGTCTCGGCCTCGGCTTTCTTGCGCATGATCTCGCCTGCTGTCGGATTCGCCTGCAGATGAATCTTCTGCGTACCCTTCTCTTGAGACTCCCAAGCATACCGCTGTGCCTTCTCGAATTCAGCAGCATCTCCGGAGGCCCGCACGAAGTTCTCCTCAGCCACCAGTGCTGCTGCCTGATCATCTTGAGCGCCCATGTCAACCATGCGCCGCGTCTTCGGATCGTATTTCGCGGAGTCCAGATCGAGGTTCAGCAGATATTTAGCGGTGTCTTCACGAATACGTAGGTTGCGAGTCGCGGTGCTTTGTTGTCGGCCCATATCAGACTCTTCTGCGTAGCGGGCTTCCTCTTCCGGGGCTTCCTCCTCATCAAGTTCACCGTCTGTGAGCCCATTTTGCCTCTTCTCTCCTTCCTTGGTAAGTTTCTTGAGCTTCTCCAGCTCCTCATACTCCTGGACCACCTGGCGATATTCGCTGGCGTCATAGCCATTCCACCGGTCTCTCTTAGCGTCCCAACCCATGTTCACATCCTGTATAACTTCGTCGGCCTGGATGTCTTTCCCAGTCCACTTGGCACCGTGTTTCCGAGGTCGACTGAGGCACTCTTTCGTTTTGTGGGTCATGGCGCCGCAATTCTCACAGGCGCCTTTGCGGTACTTGGTGGCGGCTGGACCCGCGCGCTTGCCACGCTCATACCATTTCGACTGATCTGTCGTCGACTTCTGCAAGCGTTGATGCTCAAGATAATCGTTGGTGGTATCGTCATCATCGACATAGAACGGTTTCTTGGAGATGAAAGACGGAATGTACTCGTTGCGTTCCTTCGACGCCACATCGGCTGGCTTTCGGGACATGGTGATGGAGTTGCGTGAGACAGATGACCGAATGTGAAAAGGGAAACCTCTCAGTCCGGTACTGAACAGATGGAGGAGAAAGGAAAGCGGGGAAAATGACGGTACGGTCGCGCGACGACAGTGAGGCAAGTCGTTCGGCATTCTCGAAGCGGCGGAATCCTTGGCGATCGTGGATGGTCTGGCTATCATCACGTGATCTGGCGTAGATCCGCGCCACTGGGCGCGTCACTTCCATGGTAATTCTCGACACGACCTCGGACTTTTGCTCGCAGCAGACGGCAAAAGGTTTTCAGAGACGCGCATTAGCAGTGCTATGGGCATTTGGATTTCTGACTACGATGTTTCCTACTGTCATTGAATAGCTATGTTGGTGACGGCTTTGTGCCGTCTCGAAAGTACGCAATGGAACCCTTCCAAGTGCGCCTCAATTGCGTGGATCATTATCAGGCGGCCCCGTCGGATTTCGACCCTCCCCTGCTTTACAGGGATTCGACCTCGGGCAAAAATGATCGGGTTAAAGTCCCTATTATCAGGGTCTTCGGCGCAACGCAGACTGGCCAGAAGGTCTGCGTTCATGTCCATGGCGCATACCCTTATCTCTATGTTCAGTATGAAGGCGATCTAGATGAAGAGAAAGGTTTGTCCGCCACAATGGTTTCCTGACCCCGAGTATCCGCATGGCTAAGTGGCCGTGTAGTAAGTGCCGCGACCAAACATCTCCATCTCTCTATCGACCGCGCACTAGCAGTGAGCTATAATCGAAATCCCAACGATAAGAAATTCGCCTTCGTCGCGCATATCACCTTGGTCAAGGGCGTGCCTTTCTACGGCTACCATGTTGGCTACAAGTTCTACTTCAAGGTTTACTTGACAAACCCGATCTACATGACCCGACTGGCCGATCTGCTGCTCCAGGGTGCGGTATTGAAACGATCTGTCCAGCCGTACGAGAGTCATCTGCAATACATCCCTCAGTGGATGTGCGATTACAGTCTGTACGGGTGCGCTTATATGAAGTGTAGCAACGTTAAATTTCGAATGCCCGTGCCGGAATATCTCGAGCTCACCAATTCGTCTCACCGCTGGCATGACCGTTCGATACGCCCTGAAGACTTGTCGGATCCTTCCGTCCTCCCTAAACAGAGCTACTGCCCGCTGGAAGTGGACGTCTGCGTTCAGGACATCATGAACCGCTCTGACGTCAGTGAAAGGTCTATTCACCACGACTTTACCGAGTACTTGAAGCCGATGTCTTCCGATCAGCGACTGGTTCCGAGTATGGCTGGCCTTTGGCAGGACGAAGAGCGCAGACGGAAGAAACGTCTCGGACTTGAGCCAGACAGCAGTCCGTTTGTCGCCGAGGAGCTAGTTTCCTTATCGGTAGATCCGAGGAATACATCGCAAGGTGGCTGGATTCACGAGGAAGAGTATAGGGAGATGACAATGCACACTATCAACGAGGAAAAGAGCCACTACAATGGCGCTGATGTTAGCTTCGACAATTTCCTTACAGAAAACCCCCTCGCAAAGAATGTAAAGACCGCGCTTCAGAGCGTCGAGGATTTCTATCCTGGCAAGGAAGAGCTCACCAGAATCGAATTTCGTAATGATAATGACTTGCAGCTGCCGGAGGAGTCCGATGTCGGTAGCGGCGAGGAAGCACTTGTTCCTGCCAGATCGGATGAGGAGTCGTATGATTTGGAAGAGGATGATATTTCGAGCCAGTTGCATGGAGAGACATATGAAGAAGGAATCAACACATCAGAAGATTATTGGGCCGATGGCTTATTTGATGTCGCTGCCCACAACATCTTTGATGATGAACCAGATCCTGGAGTCTCTGACCCAGATCATGATGTTGATTCTCAGGCAGAGCTTCTCGATTCGGAATACTCGGAGATCTTTGAACATACAACGTCAGCGCATGCCGACGGCTTGGAGGTTGAGCAAGACATTCTGGATGGCAGAACCCAAAGGAACAAGCGCTTTTCGGATCACAATTCAAGCCGCGAACGTCCCCACAAACGTCAACGATTCTTCGAAGATGCTCTATCGCAACAGTTAGAAAGTCCGACAAAGCAGGTCTTGCGGCAGCATGCAGCCCATTTTCAGATCAACAGCTCAGATACGGAAGACATGCTAGACGAGCTATATGAGTTTGTGGAACATTTGCCGTCGCAGGAGAAAACGTCACAATCTACCATCCGCCCAAGCAAGGCACAGAGCAGGAGGATAAGCTTCCCTGTTGTGAAAGATCCCAATGACCCTATGACCGTCTTGCGATTTAGTCAGGACAGTAGCCTCTCTTCCAAAGATTTGAGGGAATTTGACGGCGTCAATGTGTTCGAGTCTAACGAAAACATCTCTCTCAAGACCAGTTTCAACGAATCATCATCGCAACTGCAGTCATCGGCTACTGAGACTAGGCCTGACCATGCAAATGCCCATTCAGATGCCCAGGCCTCGAAGATAATGAACAGCATCTATGGCAGCTTCAATATACCCATGCAAACTCGTATTGGCTTATGGCGAAGAGCCTGTCCCAGCTCGAGCGAAGTCTCCTCAACCCTGTGTCATTTTGGATATCCATATACTATCTACCAGAAAGCCCATTACAGTGACGAGAATGATGTGCCCGACCGGCCAAGGGACTATGCAGGGAGAGAGTTCCGTTTGGAAGGAGTTGGCATACACTTTCTCCCCAGATTCGATCCTCTAGGACGATCTGTGGCGACGCTAGGCGACGACTATGCTGTGTCAAAAAACAAACGCTCCCAGGAGAAGACTGATCAACTGCTGCGCGAATCGTGCACGTTGAGAGAATGGGAGTTTGCCCCTGTACCGCCCAGTCGCTCAGAGGTCATAGAGTGGTTCGAGAAGCTCGAAGAAGAGGCCAAGAAAGATCCGGCAAAACCGCAAGCCTCCCCACGCGAGCGAGTCCAAGCGAACGTCATGTCGCAAATTGAAGGTCCTACGCAGAAGAACGATTATGGTTTCAAATACTCCCAAAAAGGCAAATCCACCAGCGTGGAGCACCAAACTCATTATATGAGCATGATGAGTCTAGAAGTACATGTGAACACTCGCGGAGAGCTGGCACCAAACCCCGAGGAAGATGAGATTAGCTGCGTTTTCTGGTGCTTGAACTCGGGCGACGAAGATGTTGACGCCAATGGTACTTTGCCGGGTGTTCATGTGGGGATGATTTCCCAGAGCGAAGAGGATAGGCCTGATGCGAAGCTCTCCAAGGCACTGAGGATCGAATGGGACCATGAACCGTCGGAACTTGATTTGATCAACCGAGTTGTGGACATTGTCCGGTATCATGATCCAGATCTCATCACGGGCTACGAGGTCCACAACAGCTCCTGGGGCTATGTCATTGAGCGAGCTAGGAAGAAGTACGACTTCGACATCTGCGACGAGCTGTCCCGCGTCATATCACAAGCCCATGGGAGATTTGGCAAGGATGCTGATCGATGGGGTTTCAACCACACGTCTTCAATCCGGGTCACTGGGAGACACATGATTAACATATGGCGAGCGATGAGGAGCGAGCTCAACCTATTGCAGTATACCATGGAGAATGTCGTTTTCCACCTGCTGCACCGCCGGATCCCACACTACTCCTTCCGGGATCTAACAGCGTGGTATCAGAGCGGGAAACCGCGTGACTTGATGAAAGTGATCGATTACTTTGTCTCGCGGGTTCAGATGGACCTTGAGATACTAGACTCCAACGAACTCATCGCCAGGACCAGTGAGCAAGCACGGCTCCTGGGCATTGACTTCTTCTCGGTGTTCTCACGGGGCTCGCAGTTCAAAGTCGAGTCCCTCATGTTCCGCATTGCCAAGGCAGAGAACTTCATGCTTGTGTCGCCCAGTAGGAAGCAAGTCGGTCAACAAAACGCTCTCGAATGCCTCCCGTTGGTCATGGAACCACAGAGCGACTTTTACACTAGCCCGCTCATCGTACTTGATTTCCAGTCGCTCTACCCCAGCATCATGATCGCATACAACTACTGCTACTCCACATTCCTCGGTCGCGCACGGCAATGGCGAGGCCGCAACAAGATGGGATTCATGGACTACGAACGGCAGCCACAGCTGCTCGAACTCCTCAAGGACAAAATCAACATCGCACCCAACGGCATGATATACGCCAAGCCGGAAGTGCGCAGATCCCTCCTGGCGCGCATGCTGGCCGAAATCCTGGAGACGCGGGTCATGGTCAAGACGGGGATGAAGGTCGACAAGGACGACAAGACGCTGCAGCGCCTGCTAAACAACCGACAGCTGGCGCTCAAACTCATCGCCAACGTCACGTACGGGTACACGTCGGCGTCCTTCTCGGGGCGGATGCCGTGCTCCGAGATCGCGGACAGCATCGTGCAATCGGGCCGCGAGACGCTCGAGAAGGCGATCGCGTTCATCCACTCAGTGGAGCGCTGGGGCGCGGAAGTCGTCTACGGCGACACGGACAGCCTCTTCGTCTACCTGAAGGGCCGGACGCGGGACCAGGCCTTCACGATCGGCGAGGAGATCGCGCAGGCGGTGACGAAGATCAATCCGCACCCAGTAAAGCTCAAGTTCGAGAAGGTCTACCACCCGTGCGTGCTGCTGGCCAAGAAGCGGTACGTGGGGTTCAAGTACGAGCACCGCGGCCAGACGGAGCCCGACTTCGACGCCAAGGGCATCGAGACCGTTCGCCGCGACGGCACGCCCGCCGAGCAGAAGATCGAGGAGAAGGCCCTGAAGCTCCTCTTCCGCACTGCCGATCTCAGCCAGGTGAAGGCCTACTTCCAGGCCCAGTGCGCCAAGATCATGCACGGCCGCGTCTCCGTCCAGGACTTCTGCTTCGCGCGCGAGGTCAAGCTCGGCACCTACAGCGACCGCGGCCTGCCGCCCCCCGGCGCCCTGATCAGCGCCCGCCGCATGGCCGCCGACCCCCGCGCCGAGCCCCAGTACGGCGAGCGCGTCCCTTACCTCGTCGTCGCCGGCGCCCCCGGCAGCCGCCTCATCGACCGCTGCGTCGCCCCGGAGACCCTCCTCCACGACGCCACCCTCGACCTCGACGCCGACTACTACATCACCAAGAACCTGATCCCCCCGCTCGAACGCATCTTCAACCTCGTCGGCGCCAACGTCCGCCAGTGGTACGACGAGATGCCCAAGGTCCAGCGCATCCGCCGGCTTCCCGAGCCGAGCCATCTGGCTGCTGCCACCGGCGGGAGTGCCCTTCTACCAAGCAACAACAACAACAACCCCCCCGCACCGGCCTGCGCAAAACCCTCGAATCCTACCTCAAATCCTCCACCTGTCTGGTGTGCAAGTCGAAACTCGAGGCCTCCGAAGCCGCAGCAACAACAACAACAACAGCAGCAGCAGCAGCAGCAGCAGCCTCTGCCTCCCCGCTCTGCGCCGAGTGTCTGCGGCGCCCCCATCTCCCGTTGTTCGACCTGGTGGGCCGGCAGCGGCAGGCGGAGAGGAAGGTGACGGAGCTGGAGCGCATCTGCCGGTCGTGTATGGGCGTCTCGTTCGGGGAGGAGGTGCGCTGCGACAGTAAGGATTGCCCCGTGTTCTATTCGCGGACCCGGGCCGTGGCCGGTTGGCGACATACCCAGGCGGCGCTGGATCCCGTGATTCGCTTGCTGCAGGATACCACGGAGAGTGCTCTGGATTGGTGATTTTTGGAGGCGGGATGGGAAAATTCTTGGGGTTGTTGGTAGTCCTTTTGTTTTTCGCTTTTCTGAATGGCTCTGCATATTGTCTCGATTGCATCTTGGACACTTGGTGGTGTTATGGGTTGTTTGTACTACACTAAAGTCTCTTGAGAGGAGTACACGGGGCTTGGATGGGGCGATTGATGGTGAGATCGGGGTTTCTTGGGTCACTAGCGGATATGGAATATGGTGTCGCATTTTATGTCCTTTGATCTTGATCTGATTTCTTGACGCCGAGGAGATTACTAGACTTTAGAAAGTCAATAACTGGAAAAAAAAAGATTATACAACTACTCCATAGTTCACCCCGCCCACCCCTCCCGGAACCACGGAATAGAGCGGAATGCAGAGCCTGGAGAAAAAGTGCTAAACCAGCAAGACAGAGGAAGAAAGAGAAATCAGGCGCCCCCTCGCAGTCTACCAACCCTTCAAATCCATTCATGCGCGTCACTGATTAATGTCTCCCTCCCCCGCTCCCCCCTCCCTCCTTTTACTACACCTAGAAAAGACCGAGCAGCGCATTGAGCTTCTCGACCGTGGTCGGCTCCGAGGTCTCCTCTTCAACAAGGTCAAGACACTCGGATCTACTGTCAGATCCTACCTTTATATTCTCGGCATGCTTGCTAGGTTCGAGCTCCACGTTGTCCACGGTGTCATAAATTTCAAGCAGGTTTGCTGTCAAGTTTGGTGACTCTGTGGTAGATGGGGCCGAAAGCTTGGGAGTATCCGAGAGGCCGAAATCGAGGAGGTCTTCAAGCGACTGGAGCTTTTCGCTGTTGCTTTTGGCGATGTTGGGGATCTGATGAGGACGGGATGTTTTAGAGACAGTCTCACCCCCAAATAGGCCAAACGGATCATCCAGGACATCTTCCGTTTCGCTGGTGTCTTCTTGGACCACAACCTCAGGAACTTCGGTGGCCGACTGTTTCTCTTCCTGCTCGGTGTCTTCAGGTTCTTCGTAGAGGCCTTTTGCAAGTTTGCCGAGAACATGGGGAAAGATCCACGGAAAGCTGATCAGCGGCCACTGACTCATATCAGGCTTCTTCTGTGAGGACTCTCCCCCGTCTTCTGGACGAGAATCTTCGCGGTGCTTCTGCAGGGCAGCGGCCATCTCCGAATGCGTGACGCGGTACATGGCAAGCGCTAAAGGTGCCAGCTGCTCGAAATTGCGGCCACCAACTTCGGCATAGCACCTCTTTTTAAAGCTCTCGAGGTGAGCCAGGGCGAGGGTTCCGATCTCCTCATGGAACTTGTAGTCTTTACTCATGTTCGCATGGCTGAGAACAAAAGTAGACCAGACTTCGAATTCAGTCTTGATTTCATGTTGGGCCATGATGCGAAGGGTCGCCGTATCATGTTCAACCTTGAGATCTTTGGCAAATTGGTAGAGTTTCTCACTCACTTGCAGTTTACAGTCAAGGATTCGCTTGTCGAAGGGCATCTCAAGACTGGGTGTAAAGTCAACACGTTCCACGGCGTCGTAAAGCTGGCCCAAAATCTTTTTCGAACGATAGATCTTATCAGGCCCCTTTCCCTTTTTCTCCATGAAATGAGGCCACATGTGAGGCTGGAGATTGCGGGTCATGGCTGCTGGGATCCCAGTCTTGTTGTAATCGACAGCATCCGAGTGCAGTTGCGCTAGTCGCAGACATTTGTCTTCATTGACTCCATTGTCCAGACGATCCGCCCATGCAAGATGTGCATGTGCGATCATCGGAAGACAATCGTTCTTCATGTATGTCACGAAAAAGGATGTGATCTCGTCAACAGTGACATCGTGATCCAAGTCTGGGGCCTTCTTGCTGGCGTATCTCATAGGTGGACGGAACCAATCCTGGGGCAGTAGATCTTGATCCCAAATGACCAGGTAGTCATCGCCATCAAGGTCTCCACCGGAGCACATGCTGGCGATATCTTGATCACCGGTTTGGGGCAATACAACTACGTCGTGAAGGTTGTGCAACTGCGGGACGTCAACAGCTCTAACCACACGGATGTCACCGGGGTGGAGGGATGGATTTCGAGCCAGTATGCAGACACCTTCGATTATGGTGTATTTCTTCCCATCTTCACTGCCCTCTGCCTCTGGTTGGGAAATTTGCAAGAATATTTGTGGTAGCGCTGCCAGCTGTTTTTCGAGGGGCTCGTTGTCCTTGGGAATGTTGTTATAGTAGTATCCTCTGAGTATACCAGTCTCATCCATACATCCCAGGAGATTAGCACCTCGCTCAATTACTATTTTTGCTTTCTCTTTCAGGTACTTGAGGTGCCAGGCTCTCCATAAGGCCATCACAGATGTCAGGAATGGCTCCCGAGACTTCATGAACCCGTCGGATATCATTTCACTGACAATAAGTGTTTTTTGATTCGGATCGACGTACCTCCTAAGAAGCGAGATTGCCAGAGAATTATCGTCCATGGCTTGGTCAAGATTCTGAAGCATGTCCTGGAGCTTATCATGAAATACATTGTCGGGTATACCCAAGGTCGACAAAACGACGATCAACTGTCTGTTAAGCGTAGCGATGCTGAACTGGGACCAACGAATGATCTCCAAGTTGTTATGAATTGCGGTAAATTTGTATTGGCTCTTGCGAATGTGAACCTCCTGGGGCTGAGCTTCAGGATATACAACGAGCATGCCCTTGCATCCTCCAAGGCGAAATTGAAACGCGGAAGGAGGGTCACCAGACGGTGTTTTGATCTTTAATTCTGTCATTGCCATTTGTGCAAGAAATCTTGATATTCTTCCGACGCCGTCAGAGAAGACATGGCCATTATGCTCAACGTCATTTATCTTTCGGATCTGCACAGGACAGCCAGCTATCGCCCTGGTGGTTGAAAAGCATTGCCCTAGCCGTGCTGCATGCTTGGCGACGTTGCGTATATGGCTAAAGTGGCCCATCCACTTGCGAATGTTGGCAGTGGTGAGGCCCGGCAGCGGGGCAAAGAAGTAAGCGCCGTGTTCACGAAACTGCGAATTTCCGAATGCAAGAAACTCGTAGTGCCTGTCACCGATGACGATGCCATTGGCCAAGGCTCTCTTGATGCGAGTGAAGATTTCATTCCTTGTGTTATCCATGGTTGAGTTGATACGACCCAGAAGCTTCTCATCCGTGAATCTCACACGAAGGAATCGATCTGCGTACTCGACATAACGTCGAATGATCCTGTTTGATATGTCGACTGTGGGTGAGTTGAAGTAGATAGTGGTTGGAGTTATTCTGGCGGAGCGCATATAACAACAGTAGGGTGGTATTTTCGCATCTGTCACACCTTTGATAAACTTGAGATTGAAAATCTCTAGAGGATTGTGGTAAACTCGCTTTTGTGTTGCCACGTGCTCTAGGAGCTTCTTGGCTCTGGTATCCTCTAGCTCAGCTAGTCTTGTTGCGAACTCGCGTGTCATAGTGAATTCTGAGAGGTATCCGTTGGAAATGCAAACCTCCAATTGATATCGGACGGCAAAAGGAAGATAAACATAAGTCGAGTCAGACAGAGACTGCAGTGAGGCCGAGATCTTGGGAGCTTGGCTGTTTGGAGAGGCTAGGGCATCTGTCAAGTCGATCCACTTCCAGATAGGGGGAGTCCTCTCCTTGCTGTCATCAACTTTGATGTCATAGTTACTCTCTTTCACTTTGATGTTGTAGTCCTTGAGTATCTCACACAGGGTCTGAAATTGCCCCAAATCCTCGCAACCATCTCGGAAGTTGAACTCGAAAGCTGTCCAACGACCTGTATACCGGACATAGCAAGGGGTCAATAAGTGACATCATGGGAAGGCACAACGAAAGAGAGCAAGTATGAGACACAAAAGACAAGAGAATACACAAGAATAGGGAGTGAGAGGAAGAAGGCTTTCAAAGCACTCACCCAAGTCAATGACTGAATGTTGCCTTTGTAGGCTGATGGGGAGGCCAGACAGCCTCCGCGGCTGGTGGACGATCTGAGTTTGTCTATACCATGTGTCCGCATCCCTCCAATGATGGTCCTCCAGGAATGTTGACCTGATATCATCTATACGCCGCTGATAAATCGGAGGGGAGTCAAGGATCGTTAGATGTGAGATCGACTTGGTGTCCGCGTTCCGCCTCTGAGCAATTCCATTCAGCTGCACGAAGGGAATCCTAATCTGGTAGTTCCTGTAGGTTTCACGCACGGAGGTCTTCTTATTGGTCGAGTCGAAGATTTGGATCTGAAATTGGACGAGCATAGCTTTGGACCTCATGTCAAGAACTATACAAAGGCCACCGCCGGGTGGATTCTCAACTGTCCGCATCGGAAAAAAGATGTTCTCACCAATCATAACACCAATATCCAGGGAAGCGAGTGGAATTTTCTGAGAAGCAGCACAGACCCGTGAGATGATGTCAATTGCAGGGAATGTAAGTTATCAAGCATACTTACAATCTCTATTGGATATTGAACGTGCTGATGGGAAGGAGACTGGATGCAGTCGCTCGGTGAATTGAGCTCAGGCTTGACGGAAATGGTGGCCGACCGACCACCAGGCAGATGAATCGCGTAGCTGCCTTGGCTCCAGAAGTCCTTAATGGGAGGCGGTCTGAGCAACATTGGATGAGTGTCAGCTTGCAAAGGAAATGCAGTGATGAAGGATTACCTGAAGCGTATCTTCCCTCGCGAATTTCTTTTCCCCTGAAAGTTCTCGAAGAGATCGATGGAGAAAATTTGCCCTTCGTTTTTGAAAGAATGCCATATACAGTCTGCATCGGCCTCATCTGGAACTTGATGAAGAAGGATAGCCAGAGAATCGAACGACTTCCATGGAGGCATGAGGTTGGCAATCGCTGTCTTCTGTGGAGGCTGAGGTTGAGCTTGAAGGGGCCCCCTTCTGTTCCTCAAAACGACTTGTTTACCTCGGGTGCTCATCTTGACTCTGGGTGAAGGCCTCTGAAGGAAAGAAGACTGGGGGGTTAAGAGCGAGGGAGAACAGGAAGAGGCAT